TATACTTTCCTTCCTCTGACTTCTCTAATTTTTCTTTTCCTTTTCTCTCTCTCTTTTTTTATAAATTAAAGAATAGGAGCATAATATAGGTTGAAGGTGAGCAGGAATTATTTTAACTTAATTTCAACATTGATTTTTTTAAAAAATAGAAAATATGTATCTATGCCATAATAGAGATGATCGTTTCGGGGAAGAGCCAAAGGATATCCTTTCAACCATATTACAATGTTAAAAGCTCATTTAATTTATTGTTCCTCATCTATTCACATATAAACAATTACATCTCTCACTCACAAAAATTCTAATAGTTTATATTTCAGTATTTTCTGCTACCTATGTTTGAAAACACCATGGAATAAAAAATAAAATTTTTGTGAAATAAACCTTTTCTGGGGCAAGTGTTTAGAGCGTATGAATAGAAACCCTAGTCACTAGAAACTAACTGGGGTCAACTATGTAAATAAGTTATTTATTACTCTATTTTAATGAATAATAAACCACTTATCCATTTAGTAACTTTAGGAAATCAAAATAAAATATCATCTTACTATGTAGTAAACTAAAAAAATAAAAATAAAAGCACAAAAATTGTAAAATTAGCTAGAGATTGGGGGGATACAACATTGAAAACTTTTTTAATCATATATGATGAATATAAATTATCTTGTCTACTGGAAAAATATCAATAAGTTTCTCACTCCTGTAAATTAGTTAAAATAAGGAACCTCATAATGCCATGTGTTTGTTAGCTTAATACCTTATGGTAGAGGTGACATTGATGAATGTACCCATGGACCAGTGATTCTGAACTGTAGTATCTCATGACCTGCAGGTGTTTCCACACTGCCTTCCCCTGCTTGGGGTTGTAATTTCTATTTGCAGTTTGTCTGTGAATTATACATCTTTGCTAAAATTGAATCTTGTTCCTTTCACATACCCTGCTATGTGCCAGCATGACCTCCTGGAGCAGCCATGGGTAGTTGTCTTTGTCTTGATTATTGGGGTTCAGGGCCTCTAGATAAATTCCTCTTCTCAGTTCACTTCCTCATTGTTCCATCACCCTATTTCACATTGTTTAAAGTTATTTCATTTTCTGATGGCTGTCTCACTTACTCACATGTAGTTGAAATGGAATTGAGTCCTGATTTCCTTGAAAAGTTATATACATGTTTCAACAAATCAAATTTTTATGATCAAATTCCATGTTTGATTTTAGAAAATTTTAGCCTAATAAATTTGCATGGGAATTCATGAACTAGTAAAAGACTTGGAAGTCTCTGGCTCTGTAGGCATTTAATTAGACACAGATTTGAAACTGACTTGGAAATCACTGTAGTTTCTGTAGCTCATACAGTGACATTCTGGTCGACATCAGATGTTGAATATAATTTCCTATTCCTAAAGATGAATTAAAGTCATTATATATATATGTGACTTAATATAACTTTTTAAAAATTTTATCTTTATTTTTGAATATAACTTTTAAAAAATATGGTTAAGCTTAGCCTTTATTATTAAGTACAGTATCCCTTTTTCTTCCAACTATAATTGTATGCCATACTAAGAAACTATCTGGAATCTGCCCTTTCTGATGGTGTTTAAACATTATTATTTATTTATTTTTTATATTTTCTTATTCTCACCCTAGGATATGTTTATTGATTTTAGAAAGAGAGGAAGGGAAGGAGGGAGGAAGGGAGGGAGAGAGGGGGGGAGAGAGAGAGAGAGAGAGAACAATGTGAGCAAGAAACATTGTTTCATTGTCTCTCTGTACTGGCCCCAACTGGGGATCATGGGATGATGCTCCAACCAAATGAGCCCCCAGCCAGGGCAACACAGTACTGTTTATTTTTGAAGCCCTCTTTCTTGAACTGTATTTTCACAATTGCAAATTTTAAAGTTATCTCAGAGATAGTATCACTTTGCTAATGTACTCAAAATAAACTTGCTTATTGTGTTCAATTTTCAAAAGTTAGGCAATAACAAGATGATAGGGAATGTAAAATTGCTTTTTATGGAGACACGGTTTTTAAAAAACATATGGAATTATGTTATTCATGTTGAATTATTCACAATTCCTAATAAAGAAGCTTTTTAAGAGTTATACATTTTATGTAAGTTCATTTATTCTCAACCTGCAACCTTGTATTTTATCATATATTATACAAGATAATTATGTAAATTGAATATTTAAAATTTATTTTGAGAATTTCATCTTCGGCTCCACTAATTATGGACTATTGTACACTTGGTGTTAACCTTGAAAGCTGTAGACACAAGTGGAAGGTTGAAAGGAAGCCAGTTTGATAAATTTGTGGAGGAGAACAGGCTTAAGCTAAAGAACTCTACGTGCTCCATTACAGAGCTGAGCGCTCTAGGCTTAGCTGCAGACCAGGGGGGGATAAGCTGGCATTTGAGTCTTGAGGGGAGAGGAAGTCATGGAGGTGTTTCCACATTAAAATAGCAACTGTTAAAGGTTCTTCCCACACATATTTAGCCATCCCAGCCATATCTGTGTGCTTGTTATGTGCTAGACTCTAGGGATAAATTGCTGAGTAAAAAAGGTGCAGACCTTGCCTTCCAGAGCTTCTAGTCTACTGGGAGAACAAGACAATCTGAACTATACCTAACAGATGCATACATTAAATAATGATAAATTGGATTGACAGCTATGAAGAGAGGGCAGGGGGGAAATACCTGAGGGACTCCCCTCGAGGAAAATCCTCTCTGAAGAGGGACTGTCGTCTGAAGCATAAGGGTTATGTTTTCCAGGAGGGAGCGAGAGCTGTCCTGGTTGAGAGGCAAGAGCCAGTGATAAGGAGCTGGTGGCAGGAGTGGCAGGTGGACGGTAGGCCATGCGGCTGGAGCCCAGACAGGGAGCTGGGCAAAGGAGGAGGTGCAGAGACTGGAGGGCGAACGTCTAAATCTGAAAAGAAAAAAAAAA